ATTCCTCACAAAGGAATACCTCCCAAGGAATACCTCCCAAGCATGCACCCAGGGGATGGGGCCGATGCGGCAGGGGCTGATTCCTTGTGTTTCCAGACGGCCTTGTGGAGCTAAGACTGAATGCATTTCAGCATAGATGGCCACCACAAAATTGTACATTGGCTCCCAGCCGGCCTGGGCCAGGGCCAAGGCAGCGGGGGCCATTCCCTCACTGTTTCCAGGATGGCTTCGCGGGCCACATGAAACCACTTTGCGGGATGTATCCATCCCCCGGGCCTTGTGTTTGACATGTCTGTGATAAAATATAAATATTTCACTGTAGAAAGATTAGATAGTGATATAATACAAACAAAACCCTACCAAGTTAAAACATTATTGTCATTCTTAGTAAAGTGGTGTTGTCACCAGAACTTCGGCTTCCTAGGCCATGGTGTAGATGAAGGTCTACTGATAAGAGATGGAGTGAACCTCACAAGAACTGGAAAAAAATATATTGGGAAAATGACTGGCTCATCTTATCAAAAGGGCTTTAAACTAAAAATGGGGGGGAGGGAACTTCACAACCTATTGAAACCTAATTCCAAGCAAAAACCACTAAATAACCAATCACATAAAGAGGAAGGGAGTAAAGAGAAAAAAAAAATAAAGAAAGAAAAACATAATGAAATAGAGAGTGAAGGAAAGGATGGAAATCCCAGTTATAAAGTAGGAGATACAAGAAACATACCCAAGACCAATAAAGAACTCAAATGCCTATATACTAATGCTCAAAGTTTAGGGAACAAGCAGAGTAAACGTGAAGTATTAGTACAAGAAGGCAGATATGATATAGTTGCCATTACTGAAACCTGGTGGGATGAAACTCATGACCGGAATGTACTGATGGAAGGATATAAACTATTCAAAAGAAACAGATCCAACAAAAGAGGAGGTGGAGTTGCATTATACATAAAACATCACTACATCTCTGATAAAACCTAGATCTTGAAGAATCCTACAACAGTCAAATATAGTGGACATTTCTTAGTGTAATAATATCTTTCCTAATAGATAAGTTTGCTAATGCTTATAGAATTACTTATCTGGGAAGAAACACTGAATACTGTGTAGATCAGGGGTCCCCAACCCCCAGTCCGTGGACCAGTACCATGCCACGGCATGCCAGTAACCGGGCCACACAAACAAGCAAAGCCCCATCTGCAAGATGCAGGCAGCTCACAAAACCATGCACCCTCTGGTCCACCTCTCTCCACAGAACCAGTCCCTGGTGCCTAACAGGTTGGGGACCTCTGGTGTAGATGATTTTGTGGGGAGGGAATTATGTTAAAATTTCAATGGAATGGATTTAATGCTTCCACCTTAAGTTTTTATTGTATAATTGTCCCATTCAAAGAACTATATGGGAGCGCAAGTTGTTGCCTTCTACTTCTAATATACAGGTATCTACCTAAAACTTAGTATCTTTCTTACCATAGAGAATCTGGTACTGAGGGAAGAATAAAAATGCTAGACACATTTTTTCAACTGTATGCTTTTCCCCCAGGTCCTGTGGTTTTATATGCTGTGATGGATGCTGTACCAGTGTTACGATGGAAGGAATTTGTGAGGAACCTGGGACTGAGTGAAAATACAATTGAGAGGATTTTTTTTGACCATAGGCCTGTGCGGGATGCACAATATGAGACACTAAAAGAATGGAGACTATTGGCAAACCATGATGCTACTATGGAGCGCATCAGTCAGGTTCTCAGTAAAATGGACTTAAGTGGATGTATTGAGGATATTCAGGAAGCACTGGCCAAACAGTGAGAGACATTGTATTATCTGCTTTCTTTCCAAAGAGAACTCACTGATGCAAACTTATTTTATCTTCAAATTTGTTTTTCCATTGTACCATAAATGGAATTTTTAAAATATACTGTGTATCTCTAACATATGCTTTAAATGGAATCATCCAGTTAATTAAGTGAATTAAGGTGTGTGCGTGTGCATATGTGTGGACATATCACACACACACAGACACACAGAGATAGATCTCTGTCATGTTGTACTGGTCTTCTTCAGAGATGGATTTTGACCATTTCCTTTGTTAGCCTTCTATTTTTTTAAGTCCTTTTGTATAGGCCACAAAGAAAATGAAGGCAATTTCATCAGATGTTTTGTAGTTTATACTTTACAGTATAAATTATACTTTATAAGAGTTACCTATTAAGTATTCATCCACTATATAGCCAAACTCATATGTTTGTTTTGTTTTTTTAATGCCCATTATTTTTGTCTACTACTTACTGTATATGTTTCATGTACCCAGTATACACTTGTGAAAGAATATAGATCTTTTAAAACAAGGGAAGGAATGAACATATTAAGGAGGGGGGGGGAAACTTTGAGAAAAGATTGTTCAGTTTTAAGGAAGAGGAAACTATGAGAAAGAAACTTGAAACAATAATACCTTGATTTTGGATCCTATAAGATGGGTCAGAGAGAAACTCTGCCAAGTTTCAAGATTTTGCTTTTCTTCCTTACAACAATAAAGAGCATTCCTGGAACCTCTGCTTTACCCTGTTTCTTGCGTTTGCTTTTCTTGAATGGTTGCATGAATACTGTTTTTATTAGGAAAGCTTAATTTGTATACTAACTATAAGGTACACAATAATGTTTGGTATCTAGGATTTTTCAGATTGGAGAGACTTTACAAATCAGCATATACAACTAGTATTAAATCCATAAATAGTATAAATATAAATATATACTATATTATAAATATAATAAATAAATATTAAATATAAATATATGATATATAGTTATAGTATAAATATTAATCTTGGAGTCCTAATGGACAATCATTTAAATATGAGCCAGCGGTGAGCTGCAGCTACCAAAAGAACCAATGCAATTCGAGGCTACATTAACAGAGATATAGAATCAAGATCATGTGAAGTATTAATACCACTTTATAATGTTTCAGACCTGTTTAGCCCTCTCTTTATTCTAGGGTCAACAGATTCCATGAAAATGGCAGTTCTGAATCTCTTTTCAACTTTTTTGAGTGGCCACAGGGGAATCCTTGTCATTCAAAGGATTCCCCTGAAGAATATGAAGACAACTTAAAGAACTTCAGCACCTTGAAGGAAAGTGCCTGGGATCTCGGTGACGTTTCAAAGATGTGCTCTATTTTTATTTGTATTGCCATCGAGGAACTGTCACGTCTTTGCCAGAACACACAGCTGAAAAGCATGGTGAAAGCCTTGCAAGTTGGTGGCTATTAGGGATAGAAACACTTCTAACAGTGAAAGATCTACAGGGAAGCTAGAGCGCTGCAGATATGAGACAAAATGGTACCTGACCAGTTGATGCCAGAGAGAATAGCTCTACTTCTCTGCCTTCCTCCAGGAGCTTAGTTTCAGATGACTCCTTTTCCACAAATTGGCCCCTAATGTAGATCTAATCATCCTGTATCTCTCCACTCAATAGCAGGACCCCAGAAGAACACTGCACTACAACCAGAGCTGGACCCTGACCTGGACCTTGATCCAATCAACTTCCTTGGGAGAATGTCTGGTAAGGCTTGACACCCAAGGTTAAACTGAAGACTTCAAAAAAGAAAGGCCTTATATTCCTGCAACCTCCAATTCAGTTCTCACCTGGAGAAATCGGCCTTTCACTATTCCATTTCCCTTTATTTACCATTCTGGTTATGCAGGAAGTATGAGGTGAAACCAGCCCCCTGGCCCCAATTCCCTCTCTTAGACTGAGTCAGGTTATACCCTCCCCACATATCATGACCCAGAAGAACATGGTCACATGCCATATCTTAGAGCTCCTGTGTAGGCAGGCAGAGCACAGGTTGTTCCTCCCTTGACTTCTCAGGAAGCCTATCAGGCTGACCCTTACATATTTCTTCCTGTGGACCTGGGACAGGCAGAATAATCCAACTTCGTCTCTTCATGATATTCTTTCCAGCATCTTTGACAAGCTGTTCTGGGCCATCGTCATTTTTCTGTACTGCAATTAGAATGCGTTCCTGTTCCTGACCAAGGTGAAGATGGGCTCTTAACTGCCTAAAGGACCAGAGGAACAGTCCAGCTCTCCTCAACCTGCAGCTACAGGAGGTGATATAGCTTGGAAGGAGGTGGCTCTCCTGCATGGGCAGATTTTAATGTCTCTTGGAGATACTATTTCCTGTGAGGGCAATTATGTGGAGAAAACCATGTTGTTTGGAAGAACAACAGGTAATGTAAAAAGAACCTACCAGGACTGGAGGCTAAAACATACGAAGAATGGTTGCAGGAATTGGGTATGTTTAGTTTAATGAAAAGGACTAGGAATGACATGATAGCAGTATTCTAACAGCTAAGGGGCTGCCACAAGAAGAGGGAGTCAAACAAGAACCTGAAGGCAGGACAAGAAGCAATGGATTGAAACTAATCAAGGAGAAAATCTTCCTGACCACTTGAATGATTTGCTTGCAGAAAATGTGGGTGCTCCAACATTGGAGGTTTTTAAGAAAAGATTGGACAACCATTTGTCTGAAATATTATAGGGTTTCCTGCTTGAGCAGGGCATTTGACTAGAAGACCTGTAAGATTCGTTCCAATTGTTAGTCTGTTAGATACAATCAGTGATAACATACAATTAACAAACATTTATGTGTAGGATTTGTTGACCTTCCCTTTATAGGTAAGTAATTGAATACAATTAAACAACATAGCTCATATCACATCCCCTGCTGAAGAGAAGAGAAGCTGGAAGGGACCTTTGAGGTCTTCTAGTCCAGCCCCTTGCTCAATCAGGAGAACCTATACCATTTCAGACAAGTGACTTTCCAGTCTCTTTTTAAAAACCTCCAGTGATGGGGGGCCCACGATTTCTGAAGGCAAGCTGTTCCATTGGTTAATTGTCCTCACTATTAGAAAGTTAATCCTTAATTCCAGGTTGCTTCTCTCTTTGATCAGTTTCCAACCACTGTTTCTTGTCCTCTTGTTTCTTGTCTTCTTGTTTTGGAGAATAGTTTGATGCCCTCTTAATTTCGCTCTGTAATCAGAAATGCTTACACGAAATGCCAGCATTTTAAAATAGCAAATATCTGCGCCCTGCGATGAAGTTTTAACGTCCATCCGTTAGGAAAAAAGAAACGGACCGTTACAGGCATGCTAAAACTGCAGAGCGTCTACTTCGGAAGTAGCTTGAGAAACACCGCTGTATACTCTTTCTCCCTTCTCAGCAATTTTAGCACGTGTGGACTTAAACGTTCAGAATTCCGCAGTCGGTATGCTGTACGATGCTATTTGAAAAGTTCTGGGAGTTGAAGTCCACACCTGTTGAGATGGAGAAACACTGGTACAAAGAGAGGCATTCATTTTTGCTGTTTTTGAATCCAAATTTATGTGAGCATCAAAGTTGAAGTGGAGGAAACAAACTCGCGGGTCAGATCAAATGCTGGATCCCCTCGGATATTTCTATGGACGCTAGGACTTCCGCCACTGCGAATGAGATGCGCGAAGAAGCCCGCTCCCTGTTCCTGGAGTATCTGGCGAGGCTTTTATGGGAAATCGTCAGTAAAGGACGACACTTCCGGCGCTTTGAACGGTTTGGCGGGAGGATGGCGGCGGGCGGCGGTTGCCTGGAAGAACCGAGGCCGTGGGTCCTGGAGGCGGTCTCTGTCCCCTTTTCTCCCCGTGAAGAAGCCACGAGGGGCCTAGTGCTCAGCCCACCTGCTGGCTTAGAGACCTCCAGAGGCCGGACTCGCAACTTGCAAGGTAAGCAGGCTTTGAACCCGTAGCCGGGCGGGTTCAGTTCAGTCTCTAAAGGATGAGAAATATAAGAAATATATTTGGAAGCTGAACGGCTGGGAAAAATAATGGCTAGTAATCGAGAAACGTTTATTAGTAAGACTTCGTTGCAGACGATGTATGCTAAGTGTGACCTGCAAATAAAGCACCCAGTGGCCAGAGATGAATTTTTTGGTTACAACTTTTGCTAACTTATTAAAATGTCCAATGGTCATTGTGATATGGGACTGGAGAAACATCCCCTGGAGCAGTAGCTGCATAAAAGAAAGCTTCTCAAAACTATTGCTGTTTTCTACACATGGGAATTCTTAAATCAGTCCAATAAATGATAATTGTTAAACTTTATTTAAATTTTATTTTATTAATATTATTTTTCTTACTGTATCACACATTTTCCTGAATAGTCATAAGGCAGAATATTGATCTTTGAAACTAAAATTTATGGGCAAATTTCTAACCATTAAATAAGATTTCTTCCCTAAACATGTTTCTCCTTTGTATGACTTAGAAATGAGTTTTAGAAAATCATTTATGCAGTATTTCAGGGGACATATTTATGTTATCGCATCTGAGAAGATACCTGAATTCAAAATGTATTACTTAAACCTCAGTAATAATTTCTGAATTCTGCTTTATCAAACTAGTTCATACTCTGAAAAACATTTTGTTCTATTAATTGATAAACAAAAGCATTATATGATACATTTATCTGTCAGATTATTTATTTTGCAACTTTGCATCCCTCTGACAACCGGTTATCATTATAGATCCAGAATAGGCACTTTCCACTTCCAATTGGTAGATCAATTTGCACTGTAATTCTTTGGATATATTATATGCAGTCCAGACATATGGATAGGCAGGATTAGAAAGACTTACTTAGTTTTCAAAAGATACAGTATATGAAGTGCCTTGTGAGTTAGAGATTGCATATGTACATGTGCATACACAGAAAAAGAACAAATGCACACAAGGGTCCCACACCTTGATGCAACTGCAGTTGCTCAAAAGATACAGATGCTACCTAGTTCAACTGTAGTGGAATCTTTGGAGAAGGATTTTTTTTTTCACAATAGCGTTAACCAGGATCATGAAGAAGGGTACAAACTAAATCATGCAGCTTTAATTATGTCTGTCTCAACATTCCCACTTTGAGTCCCATTAGTGTTTTTGTCCTGCTTCAGCAGTGACAAACAGCAATTGATTCTCTTCCAGAAACTTAGTGGGTTTTCAACTGGATGAAGGGAAGAGTTTCACAAGGACTTTAATGGGTGAATACATACTTTCTCACATGAACTTCAGAAGGATTCCACACCAAGCCAGAACTTTTATTTTAATTCTTTTTAAATAAATTGTTCAGAAACTGTTGTGAGCCTGCTTATGACTTTGCTGTTTCCAATATATATATATATTGGTTATTGCTACTTACATTTGCTTGCATATTAACAATTTTCTGTTGCTTTTCATTTGTAATTTTGTAAAATGGAGACAGTATCTTATTTTTCTCAAGGCAGTGAAAGCTGTTTCCATTCTAACAGTTTCAATAATCCAAATAATAATACATTGATAAAATCACCATCAGTCAATTGCAAAAGACAGCTTTATTTGGAATAGCTTACATCCTGTTATGATACCCTTAACACTATCAAACAACATCTGCTTATTCCAGGTCCTGGGGAGAAACTTGATAGGTGGATAAACATGCCAAATGTAGTCTATATGCTTGGCTGTGCGACAAACCAAAATAATGTTCCCTTAAAATCTCTGATATTTATTCATATTAAATATTTCAAAAACTGCATAAAGTTTTGTGAAAAATGTTTAATTAAATGTTAGCATAGTTCTATCATATCAGAAACTCACACTAATTACCAGGAAGCCTTGTCGTCTAAGTACTATAGTGATTCTCAGCTCCCATTATTTTCTATGGATATTTATGACTATCCTATCCAGGGAGCAAAAGCCAGTTCTTATTGATCTCACAACTATAAACTATAATTAGTTTTTAAATCACTACAATTTTTTCATATTTGTTAATCCCTTATATGTCCCAACAACCACCTCTGTGGTAAAGGAGTCCTAATGTAATGCTGGATTTCCACTTAGGACCATGTCAACATGTGGATGTTCCTGATGACAATAGTGACAAACTATTGTTAGCAAACTGGGAGCTTCCCAAAACAGTCCTGGAAAAATATCATGGTTTGGGAGTAGTTCGTATGTTCCAATGGCAAGCAGAATGCTTGATGGCTGATCAAGTATTGGAGGGAAGGAACTTAGTCTACTCGGGTAAGATAGCTACTAATAAAAACATTTACTGTTTTTTTCCTTTCTGCATTTTTTTTTTTAGTTTTATAGGATTTAGATGAGAACAATTTTACTGAAGTATTTAGATATTGAATTGGATAGTGCGCTTCCCTTTTTATTCTGTTTCTAATATAAATTAATTTTAATGGCAGTTTCTTTAGTAATGTCAAATGACATGGATTTGGATTACATTTTAAGCATGGGAAAGTTGGGAAAAAATTAACAAAATTTATTTCATAAATGATACTAATATTCTTCCAACTTTTGAATAATTCTTACAGAAAGTTTGAGGACAAGATGTATGTAAATACTCTAAATTTATAAGAAGCATTGTTGATTGATAAGAATGTTTTCCAAGCTAGTAGCTGTAAAAAAAATACGGTATTAGATTAAAGAGAAATGTTTTTAAATTCTTATTGTTAGAATATCAGTATGTTAGAGTGATATTTATGAAAGTGGGAGAGGCTTAGATATTTTTCCATCTGATTGGTACAAAAGTATTTTGGATTCTTGTTTCTATTTTATTAATAGTATAACCTGAAGCTTTTTTAGACTGCAATACAGTGTAAATTTACTGAGCGCAGTAATTTTGCATTGCTAAGCAAGATGGTTGTTAAGTAAGTTATGCTCCATGTTATGATTTTTTGCCACAGTTATTGAGTGAATCACTGCATTTAAGTGAATCAGGTGGTGGTTACATGAAAATCTACCTTCCCCCATTGACTTTCCTTACTGGAAGCCAGCTCAGATGATTACTGGGGGCACACCATGTGCTCTCTGAACAGTCTATAATTTTAGAAGTTCTTGAATGAAAAAAAAAAAGTCTGTAGCTGTGAATCATTTTCTTATAAATTGTTGCCTTTTTTTCAACGGCTTTCAGCTCCCACCAGTGCGGGAAAAACACTTGTTGCCGAATTACTCATATTGAAGAGAGTTTTAGAAACACGGAAGAAAGCATTGTTCATTCTCCCTTTCATCTCTGTGGCAAAAGAGAAGAAATATTACCTACAGGTGTGATTTAAAATTGCAGTGAGACTTTGTTTAGTGGCTATGGATTGCATGTTTTCTTAGAAACTGAAACGGGGCAGTGATCTTGATGTGCATTGTGATATCAATGGTCTTGAAGCAACATAGATCACATATATTCTTGGCACAATCATTTGAGAGTTAAGGAAAGTAATTATTTAACTAGGTTTATTTTCTACTTACTTACCAAAGAATGGGCAGTTTATAAGTATCAACATTGAAACAAACCCATCATTAAAACATTCTATTAATAGTTGTAGATCATTTTAGAAATGCAGATTTTGAACACTACCTGTATGTATGTGCTTCTTTCTGAAAAATAGGCTATGTTCCAAGAAGAGGGTGTACAAGTGGAAGGTTATATAGGCAGTGTTTCTCCTTCGGTCCCTTTTTCTGCACTGGATGTTGCAGTCTGTACTATTGAGAAAGCAAACGGTCTGGTCAATAGACTCATAGATGAGAAAACTCTTGACTCTCTAGGTAAGTTGACAAATATCAATATAAAGAGAAATAGTGAAAAACAAATTGTTTACTTGGGTACATCCTTTTTTTCTTCATGATAGCCATCTCTGTAACCATTTTTGATATCACGAACAGAAAGAACACACACATTCACATACATCCCCTACCCCCTAACAAAGACAAAAATGTGAAAAAGAATAATGTAGAAGAGGTATGAAAAAGGGGTAGCTATATTAGGAAGAAGAGAAAATTAAAACTATTTGCTGAATGGTTGGCAGAATAATAACAATTTGGAATGGGGGCGGGGCCAGCTGTCAAGCCGACTGGTTGTGTTGGAAGGTTCGCCGGAACACACAACTACTTTGCCAGCGCTTGAGCTGGCTTTTCGGAGCCACGGCTCCTTGGAGGGGAGCCAAGAAGGAAGGACGACCTGCAGTGTAATCCAGGTGGCGACCAGAGCGCGACTGCAGGGAAGAGCCTGGCAGACTGAGTGGGGAAGAAGACAGCCCTTAATGGCCGACATAGAGGCTTGACAGAAGGACAACGTAGGCGGTGAAGTAGCTGAACAACAGGTGACTGGAACTGGCCAAGAATTGATTCTGACGGAGGAACTGGAGGAAACTGGAAAGGAAGAGTTTTTTGGAAGTTTTTCCCCGGGTAGCACAGGTTAGAAGATTCCCAGGAAAAAGGGGGGGAGTGTTTTTTTCCATCCCCCCCCATGAAAACGGCGAGAAAGACTTGTTTGGGGGGGGGAAAAAGTCCCAAAATTAAACTTGGAAGGAAATAGAGATGCGCTAGCAGGGAAAGAACAGTGTTAATGAGAAGGGACTGGAGAGCTTTGTAAAAAATGGCGGACTGCGTTGTTTGGCGACCCCTGTGAAATGGTCGATCAATCCCAAATGGGGTCCCGACCCACAGGTTGAGAACCACTGCTCTAGAGGATCATGATTTACAATCTGGATGGCACGCATTTTTGTGGGATGAGAGACATAATGTTCATCAATATTTCCAGAGACACCATATTAGAGCAGCATTACTTAATGTGTGGATTAAAGTTAAACAACAGAACTATATAGAAACACTGGTATGGCTCACAACACTAGAAGCGCTAGTGCATCCAAATTTTATGAACTTGGGAAAAGTAGTTACGTACAGAGATATTCTAAATGATCAAGGGGAACTTAAATCTAGACAAGAATTAAAAGAAAACGGGGTACAATTGGAATGGTGGACATACCTGCAAGTTCAGTCACATTATAAGAAAGACAAAGAATGGGGTATACAGAGAAATCTGACAACACTAGATAAAATATTATTAGGAACGGAGGAGAAAGCAATCAAAAGAACCTATAAATATTTATTGGAATATAAAATGGAAGAGGAGCAGGTAAAAGAAGTGATAACATGGGCTCAAAATTTCGGATATAATATTGATTTAGATCAGTGGTTCTCAACCTTTCTAATGCCGCGACCCCATAATATAGTTCCCCATGTTGTGGTGACCCCCAATCACTTATACATCATCAGGGGCATGGCCAAAGAAAAGGGGGAAAAATGGCGGACAGCCTTGTTTGGCGACCCCCATGAAATGGTCGTTCGACCCCAAATGGGGTCCCGACCCACAGGTTGAGAACCACTGATTTAGATAAATGGCAAATGTTATGGGAAAGAAATAGAAAGTTAACCTTGGCTACCTCGTATAAAGAGAATCTGTACAAAATGTTTTACAGGTGGCATTTCTCCCCAACAAGATTGGCAAAGATGAGAAAAGATATATCACCATAATGCTGGAAGTGCAAGAAAATGTTAGGCACTTATTATCATATGTCCGTGGTGGCGAACCTATGGCACGCGTGCCACAGGTGGCACTCAGAGCCCTCTCTGTGGGCACACCCGCCATCGCCCCAGTCCTAGGCCTTCAGCTGGGTTTTATAAAACCTTTTCGCTTTAGGCCTTCACCGCCATGTGCAAAAAAAAAAAGGTTCAATCAATCAATCAATTTTAACTTCCCATGAGGAAAAAAAGATCTCGGAAAGTTGGAATTGATTGATTGAACTTTTTAGTCCCACCCAGTCTACCGTTACCACCACAGCCATGCCCACCATATGGGCCACGCCCACCCAATTGGTCACACCCACCCAATGGGCCACGCCCAATCGGCACCCGACGATACATAAGTGGGTTTTTGGTTGCAGTTTGGGCACTTGGTCTCTAAAAGGTTCGCCATCACTGTCATATGTGATGGACTTGTTCCAAAGCCAAAGAATTTTGGCGGCTAATAAAGACTTGGTTGGAGGAAATGTTGGGACTGAAGATAGATTCCAGACCAGAATTGTTTTTACTGGGAATGATAGATGGGAAGTTTAACAAAGGAGAGACATATCTAGTGTTGCATATCATAACAGCAGCAAGGTTGGTGTATGCCCAGAATTGGAAAAACAGAAATTCCCTGCTGAAGAGTGAACTAATTAGAAAATTTTTGATATGTGCAGAGATGGATAGATTATCCTTAGAAATTAAAGATAAGGATGAAACAGTATTACGAAGTTTGGGATAAGATGTACTATTGGTTAGACTCAAGAAAAAGAACAGAGAAAGCTCGTTTAGAAGAGAGAAAGTGTAGATTTCCAACCTCAAAGTAAGATAGAGATCAGAAAGAATATGAAGTAATGGAAATGGAAGTTATGTTATAAATAGACGTAAATATGTATGTAAATATATAAATATGTAAATAGTATAAAATGTAATGTGTAAATGGTATAAAAGATCAATGACTAGGAAGATATATGGTATAGTACACGGGTCGGCAACCCGCGCCTCCCCCTCCCCCTTCTTCCTCCTGCTGCCCCCCCCCAGGCCTCAGTCCTGGCTGGGGCGGTGGTGGCGGGGGCATTGCTTCCTGGGCCGTCCCTGGGCCGCCGAGCCGGCCATGTGTCTGCCCGGGCCAGGCAGCAGTCCCGGCTGGGGGGGCGCGGCGTGTTTTGTTTTGTTTTGCTGGTCCCTGTGTTTTGTTTTCGGTGGGAAAAGGGGCCAAGTGGCTCTTTAAGTATTTTGGGTTGCCTACCCCTGGTATAGTATGTATGGCAAAATAATAGCCAGAAAAGTCACACTGTTCAACCTGTTTTTAAATGTTTACTTAATAAAAAATTATAAAAAAATAACAATTTGGAATAAACCTGTGCATGCCTGCTCTCTGTACAGAAATGTGAAAAAGCAAGAATGTTCCATGTAAAGATTTTTTTTAGCATATGCGGATATATCAATATTTTATCTTTATTCAAACTATGTATAAAGATAAAGGTGATGTAACTGAACAAAAAAACTATAAAAATTGACTTTCCAATCATCTTTTCAAGAAAAATAATTACAGATACATCATTTCCTTCTGTAGAAAAAGTAGGTACCCCCTTTGATCTAATACCTAGCATTGTCTTTTTTGGCAGAAAAAAAAAACTTCAAAAAAAATTCTTATAATTGTCTACCAGTCCCTATGTCAACTGGGAGAAATTTGTTCCTACTGCTTCAGAATTTTTACACCTGTGCAACATTAAAGGGATTTCTTACAAGCATAGCCCATTTCATACTACCCTGCGGTATTTCAATGGGATTTAGATCTGAGGTTTGTCTTGGTCATTCCAAAACTTTCCATTGTAGAGTTTTTTAAAGTCATTCCTTAATGGATTTACAGGAATATTTAGGGTAATTTTGGTGTTGTAAGGTCCTCTTTTAGTTGAGCTTCAATCTTCTGACAAATTATATCACATTATCCTCAAGTATCTTCTTGTACAATGAAGAATTCATATTGGAATCTATGGTGGTGATATGCTCAGGCCCTGAAACAGCAAAGCAACCTCAAACCATATTTCCATCGCCATGCTTTATATTTGGTATCAGGTTCTTCTGGTGAAATGCTGTCTTTTGTTTTCACCAAATGTGTCTTCTGGGGCTCTGGCCAAAGACTATGCCTTGTCTATCCAGAGCACATTGTTCAGAAATCCTGGTCTTTGCCTAGATATTCATGAGCAAACTTTAGCATTGCCTTAATGTTCATTCTGGACAGCAAAGGTTTTCCCCCTACCATAACCCCCATGTAGATCTACTTTGTAATAGTAGACTCAAGCATTTTGACATCAGTAGTAATGAGAGCTTCCTGTAAGTCGCACGATGAAGTTCTGGAGTTCCCAGAAACCTTTTTTCAGCACTTTATAAATCCCTTTCCTCTATAACTATCTGAAGATGGTAAATCTATGTCTTTCAACAACACAGAGCAAATTGAACTAAGTACCTGAAAGTTTCAATAAGATAGGTTCCTCCTGGATCCTCTTTAATAATGTTCTAATTATTTGTACCTGATGTGGTATACCTTATTCTTATTTTAGATATTTGAGATGATGATAAATGTAGGGACATTTTTACTTTTTTCATTTGAGAAATTTGTATTTATGCTTATTTAAATTACACAATGGATTACAAAATGTATATGGTGCATGATACCTTTACCAATATTGTTAAAGCAAAGACTTAAGATATTTATCTTGAAAAAGTCAAAAATTTCAAATGGAGAGTAGTTAATTTTTCACATGAAAATATGATTAGTCTCTTGTGAATTCTAGCCTATTTATTATGAAATTTTGCCATAGACCACAGCATAATTCATTGAAGGAGGAAATAGAATGCAATTTGCTAGCTTCATTCCATCTTTTTACTTTTTACTTGCATATTAGACAGGTTAAATGGAGGTAGAATAAAGCTTCTACCACAACGTCTAGCATTTGTAAAGGGAGAATTTAAAAAATGTGGGTCTTCATTGAAGACGCTTGTATTTTCCTGTTTCTTTTTCAGCTACTTACTTGTATTATTTGCTACCTTTGTTTACAATAATGTAATGCTTACATTATTATTTATAATAGTATTCTCCATTTGGTGAACACAATCGAAATAAGTTATTTTGGAGAAAAACTTGACTTTGTAGTGAATACAATACATGCAGTTTGTTTTAAGGTTATTTAAGGTTTGTTTATTTTTCCTTTTATAATAGATGCTGTTTTGGAATCTACTTTGACAAATTAAAATACATATTCCATTTTCCCCTCTTCGTTTCTTTTTATAGGAATAATTGTTGTGGATGAATTGCACATGTTAGGAGATTCTCAAAGAGGATATTTATTAGAACTTCTGCTGGCAAAAATTTGTTTTTTGACTAAAAGAATAAAGAACAAGTATGTAGTATGAAAAATCATGATTTCTTTACTATTTGATCTTTTAAAACAAGTAGATTTGTGGATTATAATTTTTGTTAAAATGTTAAATAATTTGCCTGACAACCATAAACACTTTTTAATGATCACTTCTAATTAGACTTATTTTGGAATGGCTATCTAAATCATGGATGCATCGTTGCTTAAATATACTCTTTTTTAATATATATTTTATTGGTTTTTTTAATTTTAACATCAAAGTGCTCAGGAAAACACCGTGGTAAAAGGGTAATCAATCATAACAAAACAAGTTTTGTATATATATAACTAAAATTAATACCTTAAAAAAAATTCCCCCCTCTATTTCCTCACATGATATAACAAATTTAGTTTAATCTATTTCTTCTTGAAATTCAATTAATCCACAAAATCATCCCTACTATTACATCTACATAAATCACTCCTACTTTTAAGCTCCACTAATTTCAATTAAAATATTCCAATTGATCTTACATATTAATAAAATTTTGGGTATCCCTTCTACAACACACATAATATTCCAAGAATAACATTCTAATATTTTCCACATATATTCCATCTCTTACTACATCATAAATTAATACCCTTTCTTCTCTTATCATAGATCTCTCTAATTCTTCTGCTATTACAAAATAGTTTTCTATATAAACAGAGTAAAAAAAACAAAAAAAGAATCATTTCGACCTGTTAAGTAAAATTTAACTCTCAACCAAATTAACTATCATATCTAAGACAAACATATTATTACACCAATTATTATCTTACTGCTTTCATTTACTCAATTAGATTGTCCAGTCAATCCAAATTTCTAAAGCCTTTTTGACCCAATAATTAAAATTTTAAATCACATTTTTAAATCTAACTCTGGCTTTTTTTCTGTATCAAGCTGGTTTCCATAATGTCGCTTCTATGTCATCAAATCTCAATATTTGAGTACTAATGTTTATCAACAAATCAATCTGATCAAAATTCTCCTCCCCTTCTTCCAGTATCATATACATAATATAGTCCATTTTATTCCATATTATAATTTCAGCTTGCTTATCCAGGTTGTCATAACTTTCAATCAATCGCGTCTGGCTGTCAATTCCTGTTAATTTTGGCAATAGGAGAGCTTCACTTATAGTCATTTTTTGATCTTCAAAGTTCTCCATTTGTACATAGACTTGTGAAATATCCTCCTCTGTAGTAGTTAGTTGATTTATAGAGTAGTTATTTAAAGTCTCAATCTGGGATTTTGGGTCCAGAATTTTTCTAAAGTTCAATTGATCAGTGAGTTCTTCCATCTCAAATTGTGTACACTGTTGCATATAAGCTTCTTCTTGGCCTGTAGATTGGTCTTTTAAAAATTGGGGCTCAGCTTGTGATTCTAGAAGGTGGTCTTTAGTTTTTCTCCATGACTTCATCTCCTTTGTCATTTCCAATATTTTTTCCAATATCAGCTTATAATCCAGGCCAGAATTCAATTGATCAGTAACTTCTTCCATCTCAGATTGTGTATACTGTTGCATATAGGCTTCTTCTTGGCCTATAGGTTGATCTTTTAAAGTTTGAGACTCATTGCTTAAATATACTCTTAATGTATTTAACTTGGGTTCTGGAAAAGCTGTTTAGTATTTACATTTTTTAAGAAGAGTTGTCCCTAATACATTTTATTGTTTATTATTTGAAGGATTGTTTGAATCTCACTTAGAATGAATCTTCACTTTATATAAATAAGTATTCAATACATTAAAATTCACTTTTTCTATTTATACATATACTTTGGTGTAATCTGGGTGTGTGTTCCACACAGTGTTAATTAGGCAATTTTGTTTAGCTTGTGAGATTAGCCAGGTAGTAACACCTGCTGAAGCCAATGACAAAATGCTGTATCAGGTAGTCCTCATTTAGTGACCATAATCACCACCCGCTTTCCTTTTTTAACTGAGATCTTCCACTTCCTTCTACCAATAGTATAGCCAGTTTGACTTTTGTGTACTTTGTCTGGTGATGGTTGTTCGAAGACAATTAGAAATGAAGAGATTGATAGAAATTGATAGGTCATTCTCCTGCTTCATTTCACTTTTCTAGACTATGCAGTCCAATTAAACTTTCTTCCTTGCTATTTCTGACTTTGGCGTTCTAGTCTCCAACCATAAGCAACACATCTTTCCTGCATATTTGTCGATTTCAAATTGAACTTGATTATAAAACTCATGAACTTTCTCTTCTTTTCAGTCAGTGTTGTTGGAGTATAAACTTGAATAATTGTCACATTAAGGGGTTGTGCGTGAAGTTATTTGTTCATTGATTGCATTACAACCAAGTAGCTAGCTACTTGCTAGCTAGATCCTTCCTGATAATGAAAACTACATCATTCCTTTGTTTTTTGTGTCTTGAGTAATAAACAGCATGATTGACTGAAAATGTCCAACTCCAGTCTTTTCAATTTGTTTACACTTAAAATGTCGATATTTTGTCAGGTTACGCCATATTGAGCCTTTCCATCTTTATGTTTCTTACAATATGTTCCATGTTCCCACTGTAGTTCTATCTTTGCAGCTTCAAATTTTCGTTTCTAGCATGGCAATATCAGCAACTGAAGGGCTTTAATCTAGCTACCTCATAATATCATTAGTACTCCAACCTTAGCTCTTCCTCAGTAGCTTATCATCCAATACTATATTATTAATTGCTTTATCTTATCTACTCAAGTAGTTTTCTTGGTAAACTAGAAGTGTGGTATACCACGACCTTCTCCCAAGCAGTATGAAATGACTTCGCCATTGTCATGAAAGTGATCTTCTGCTTCCAGCACCTTTCTTTATCACTGCTGCCCAATATATAGTAGAAATCTGCTTGCTTTAGTTGCTAGCATATAATCTTAGTGTTCTTTGTAAATCCCTCCTAGGAAACCTTTCTACCACAGTGAGGACTTGTGATAGGGGAAGTAACCCTCTAATGCAGTCTTGCTAAAAAAACTTGTTCTCTCTTATATTAGGGTTAGGGAGGGGGTGCCAAATGAGTTGTACTGTGGAAGTTGTGTAATGGTAAAGGAAACTGCTAAACTACTTAGTAGGCTAGTAGAAAGCTTTTGGGAGAAGTTTAAGACTTCACATTTTGCACCCTATGGTCACTCTACATAGGGCTACCCTTGAAGATCACTCAAAAGTTGCAACCTATCCAGAGCACAGCAGTGCAGGCAGTTGCTTCCATGTTACACTGCTGCTCCACAAGTTGCATTGGTTTTCATTGGGCTTCTGAGTGAAATTCAAGGTACTATCTATACAGCTCCTTGTGATAGGAGCTAAGTTGTTTTCAGAATCAACTCTCCATGATAGTTTCTGCCCATTATGTCCGATAGATTGGGCATTGCTCCCAGCCCTTTCTATTATGCCAGGAAGCATTCTGTTTCTGTTGTAATGTGTGTCCTCTGGAACCATGCCCTCTTAGATTTGTAGGGCCATTACCCTGGAAGCATTTCTTAAATCCTTGAAGAGTTCTGGAAGTTAGGCGATTGTGTCAGTATGATTCTGTCTTCTTTGTGGTTGAATTGGGCTTATTCCTGGACAATATTATTTTATTAGTAATTGCTGATTTTGTTTTTTAGCCCAGTGTACACTAACCAGTGTTATAATTGCAGGATAGGCAGAAATATAAATTGACATAATAAATAAATCCAATTCCACTATCCATGTTCCCCAATCAATAGAAAGTAATAATTGTTGATAGACACAGAGTTCATTTCATAAAACTATTGACCATCACATCAGTGTGATTTAATATGTTAATAAATTCTATAAATAAATATGCAGTGGAATCAGTTTTCAAAATTTGTTTATTCCTGCAGACAAATCATGAAAGAGTCTTTTTGTAATAAAATACAGATCATAGGAATGAGTGCTACCCTTCCTAATTTGGATCTTCTGGCTTCCTGGCTAAATGCAGAATTGTACCACACAGACTTCCGTCCAGTACCCCTTCTGGAACAAGTAAAAATTGGCAATAAGATTTATGACTCTTCAAATGCAGTTGTGAGAGAAATTCAACCTATACTGAATATTAAGGTATTTGCCCATACTGAGAATTAGTTTGATGCAATATTACTTTTTTATATAAAATTATGGCAACATTTTATGTATATTGATATTCCTATACTATTATAAAAGAAGTTCTGGTTTCATCTGAATATTTGTCTTTAAAATTCTTTGTATCATTATATGTATTTGTATTCATTTTTTTTTACTTTTTCACAAGTCCCACATGTATGTATGGTAAAAATAACCTTTTATGTTTTTCACTTTTCCAATCCTGACTAAAAATACTTTTATACATCTTAGATAATTTCTCTGGTGTCATATGCATTATTTTGTAAAATTCCTCTCTTAAATAGTGTCACAATGTGAATTTCAGTCCTTTTAACATTCTTTCCCATTAGTCTGTTCATATCTATATATTACTGTATACAGTAATATATAGTATACTATATATACGCATAGGATTGTCATTTCCATTGCTTCCTGACAGCTTCCTCATGTCAGTGGAAAGATTGGCAGGAAGTGTAAACTTAATCATGCCAGCTTCCTGGAAGCAAAGTCTCCCCATCTGTAGAATCTCCCCAATCCCCTCTGTGCTCACACTGTGCTGCCACTTGCACATTACTGTGTATCTTTCTTGACCCATGCTGAATCTCCTTGTATGCACACCATCTCTCTCACACCCCCATGCACCCAACCCATATCACATTCCATGCACTCTCCAACACAGACTGCACTACACATACACTATTCCTGCTCTGTCCCACACCACTCCACATCCTTCCCACCCCACACAGCCCCCCTGTATACCTTCCCTGTCCCACACAGCAACTTATGGACCTCCATACAGCTTCCTAACCTGCGCAGTACCTCCCATGGAGGTTGGGATGGTGTGCAGGGTATGGCACTGGCCGGGAAGGTGTGTGGATAAGGAAGTACACGGGAGGGGCTGCCTGAGAAGCACCATGTGAGTCAGGAAGTTTTCAGGGAGCTGCAGGCAAGGTGCATCAAGGATCACAGAGGGCATTTGGGGAGTGCAAGGTAGATAAGGAAATATCTCTGAAACAATTGTTATAAATTGTCTATTTATAATCAATATTCTTAACCATTTTATCATGCACTCTTTAACTTGTTATGTTGTTTCAAATATCAGCAAATATTTATACATCCTAGCAATCATATATTTATCATTTGTAAACAAATCAATTTCAAATTTTGTTTTATGTTTTTCAATTCCAATTATTTTAAATCTATATTAAATATTTTTCTTAATTTTAGATATACATGAAAACCATTGACAACTAACTCCAGCTGTAGTGAACTGTTTGACTTCATCTTCAGTTCTACATGGTTCTGTAGTAGCAAATCTTGATATGTTAACTGTTTGTCTTTGTTCGCTGTTTCTTTTCTATGAAATGCTTCTTGTGCTGAAATCAATAAAGACATTTTTGGACACAGCCTGGGTTTATATCTATTCCATATTCTTAGTATGGCACTCCTAACATGATTTACTTTAACTTTCTACATTTTCTTTAACTTTCTTGTACATTAAAAAGCAAAACCATCCAAATCTCAGGTTGTGTTCTTCTAATTGTAACATTCTTTTATTTCTCAACAGCACCCCCAAACATCAGGCTGCAAAATACAATTTACAAATACAACTCAGGCAATCCTAATCCTCTTTCTTTTATGTCTTAAATAATTTTATATTTAAACCTTCCATTTTATTTCCATAGCCCTAACACATAATTGTCACTTTCTACAATTGTTTAGGGAGATGAGGACCATGTGGTGACTCTGTGTTATGAGACAGTCCAGGATGGACATTCAGTTCTTGTATTTTGTCCAACAAAGAATTGGTGTGAGAAATTAGCAGACATCATTGCCAGGGAATTCTGCAGTATTCAACAAAAGAGTAAGTCAAAGAGTAAGGGATAGAAGAAGAGAAGGAAATTGGAGAGAAAGTATAAGGTTTTAAGGCTGTTTTCCTTTTTGAAGATCTTCAAAAGATGTCAACCCTTTCACCTGTTACGTTGTGCCAGGAAGGGATAGAAAAGTTGTTGATTCAGTTAAAGCGGTCTCCTTCTGGCTTGGACAGTGTGCTTCACCGGACCATCAAATGGGGAGTTGCTTTTCACCATGCAGGTACACTTTTTATTATCATGCTTATCAGCAGGTGTGAAATTTCTAGCATGGTTGTGACCATGTAAAGATGGAGAAGAATATGTCTAAAACACATTCGGTTTGATTTCTAGGCCTTAAACTGGTGATGACTTGAAATAAAACTAGTGTAAAAATTTCAGATAAACTCCTATTCAGGTAGAAGAAGGAAATGAGGTAGTAATTATGCTGAGATTATGAAGCCACTAAATATTGATATAAATTGTGGCCATTGTGGTCTAGACAATAAAAATATGGAGATAAAATAAGAGATGAACTAAAATATGATGGGAAGATTCTTATGATTATTGTAGAATAGAACAATTGAAGAAACAGACTTGTTCAAATAGCACAGAAGTAACAGAAATTGAGAAAGAATTGCCTTGCATGTTAAAAATATTCATGTTGAAGAGAAATCCAAGGTAATGAACTTGGTAGCACTGTTAAGAAGATCAGGATTAAATTAACCAGAATTAATAAAAGTATCAGCACTGGTGACTTTTGTTTTAATTCCACCAGGCAGGGAACCAATATCTCCGCAGAATCACAAGAGTTTTGGTGTGTACACAATAAGCAATTCAGAAAATTGTAGGAATTGTAAGCAGGAAGGAGCATGTAATATTGGAATTGTCAATGTTAACAGAAATTGTGCATGTATGGTATGTACCTTGAGACTATACACTTTAATGAAGTCAGTAGGATTCCATGAAGTCAAAGTTGTTTGTAAAAGGAACAAAAAAATATATGGCAACAAAAAAGATAATTAAGGCACAAAAGGATATCCTAAAAGGAAAAAAATGGAGGATGGCAAAAGCTAATATGGTTAGAAAAATCATTAAGTGAATATCTACAAATTGAAAAGAACACATAAAAAAGGAAAGAGAGGTATGTCACTAAAGAAAGTACATAGAAGTAATTCTGAAAGTATAGAAGGTATCAGAAAAGCTAAACCTCAGAATGAGTTGAGGTTAGTGATGGATGTTAAGAACAACACACATTTTTCAAATAAGTTTGAAATTAAAGGCAGGAAGGAGTTTTTTCCCAGATAGGGGATTCAAATTCTGTTTTTATATGACTCTTATAAGACCAAATGTTGGGCATCTCCAACAGTGTAACAAACTTTTACATTTACGTTTGCCCCAAACATTTCCTGAATAGGAAAATTCAATGTGCTTAATTTCAGTAAAGGTTTGCATGTTTTGATTTTCATCTGAGTTGTTATAAGTTGTTTTTGTCTGGGTTTTGTGCTTTTTAAAATATCCTATATTGTGGGCTTTTGACTGTAATAGTGAACAAAACTATTTTGTTATGGATGCCTTGAGTCACCATCGCTTAGGTAGCAGTGGTACAGAGGAGCGTTTTTTTTTTGTTTGTTTGTTTTAGAACAATCTCATGATCAAGAGCAGGGAGGATATTTTTGTTTGTTTTCTCTTCCAGTATTGTTAATTCTTTTAACTTTTAATTGATAAGTTTAATTATCATTTTTACCATTTTATTGTAAACTAATTGAATTTTTTAATGAAAGTGAAAAATGCTACCTATATATTAAACTTATAAAGCATATTTATCTTAAACTATTTTTCAGGTTTGACATTTGATGAACGAGACATAATTGAAGTAGCTTTCCGTCAAGGTGTCCTACGAGTTTTAATAGCCACTTCTACACTTTCTTCGGGGGTAAATCTGCCTGCACGTCGGGTAATTATCCGAACTCCTGTATTTGGTAGCAGACTGTTGGATATTTTGACATACAAACAAATGGCTGGAAGAGCTGGAAGGAAAGGAGTAGATACTATAGGTAAATGCATTTAGAGCCCTTTACTTGTTTATGTTTGTAACTAGAACACCATAAATCTTATGATGCTTTAAAGTCCAAAACATTTCTTGTAGAATAAATTCTCCTAGGAAGCAATCTATAAGATGTACCAATGACCCAGATAGTTGTAGAAAGATACAATTTTTCTACAATTTCTACAATTCTATCATGGTTATCACATGGTTCTTTATACATATGATAATAAGTACCTGATTTGTGTTTACATTTCTCTGACATATTTTAAATTTTTTTTGCTAATCTTGTTGGTGGCAAGTGCCATCTATAGAACATTTTATATAAGTTTATATGAAGCTACATTGTCAATTTATAGTTTCTTTCCCACAAACTTTCCCACTTCTCTAAGTCTATATCATATTCAAAATTCTTTGCCCATACTATCATTGTCTCTTTTACTTGTTCATCTTCCATTTTGAGATTTAATAAGAAATCGTACATTTTTAAATAAATTTTTCTTTGGACGTTAGTAATATGTGATCAAACATAGTCTGCTCTTTATAAAATCCATACTGTTTAATATTTTTGTCGTATCTGACTTGCATTTGTAAATGTGACCACCATGTTAAATCGATACCCTGATTTTCCATCTTTTGCCTGGATTTTAAGTTCCCTTCAGAATTTAGAATATCTTTATATCTCCATATTTTATTGAGACTGACTAATTTGGATGTACAAATGCTTCCATTGTTGAAAGCCATTTTGGAATTTTCAAATAGATTTTATATTTTATTTTTCCCCATATTAATAATAATACATTTCTAATATAGTGGTTTTGGAAGTATTTATGTATTTTATTTTTTGCATACCATAAAAAAGCGTGCCAACCAAGTTGTAGGTCATGGCCTTCCAAGTACAGCAATCTTTTATTTCTAAGAGTTATCCATTCTTTTACCCATGTTAGCACTGACGCTTGATAATATAAAACCCATTCTGGCAAGCCAAAACCTCCATTTCCCTTGGCTTCTTGTAACATTTGCAATTGTAGCTTTCTTTCCTTGCCAGATAAATTTTTGAATTAGAGAGTTTAACTCTTCAAAGATTTTTTTCTCCAGTTTTATAGTATCATTTGAAACAAAAATAGAATTTTTAGCAATATTTTCACCGGCAATGGCAAAACTCTCCCAATATGTTGCGCAACATCACACGACGTCACGAGTTTGACATGTCTGCTCTAGAATGAATACCAAAATCATGTGCAAATGTTTGCAATTTATAGGTTTCACCTTTTATTTTCAATCCTTTAATTTCTGGATCTTGCCTAATGTTTTTATTTAAAACTTCCAAAATTAAGATAAATAGCAGTGGGGATAATGGACATCCTTGTCTTGTGCATTTTCGTGTATCAAAATTCTCTGTGTAATCCCCATTTACAATCAGTTTTGCTGTTTACTTCTGATATATTGTCTGAATTGTATTTATAAAGCTTTGACCAAAGTCCATTGTTTTTAGTTGTTGAATCATAAATTGCCAAGAAACATTATCAAATGCCTTTTGGGTGTCTAAAAATACTAATGCCAATTGTTTCTCTGGATGTAGTTCATAATATTCCAATATGTCTAGTATTACTCTCAAATTATTTTTTATTTGTCTCTGGCAAAAATCCATTTTGGTCTGGATGTATAAATTCAATCAAAAATCTTTTCAGCCCCTCAGCTATTATTGAAGTGAAGATTTTGTAGTCCACATTTAATAGTGATATCGGTCTATAGTATTTTATCTGGGTCAAATCTGAATCCTCTTTTGGTATCAAAGTAACATTTGCTTCTGTCCATGTATTTGGGAGTTTTGCCTCCAATAAAAGTTCATTACATACATCTTTCAATGGTAAACTTAATGTATCTTGTAAGCATTTATAAAAAACACTGCCGGGAGTCCATCTGGTCCCGCTGTTTTTTCATTTTTTTGTCTTTTTATTGCCTCTGTCAGTACCATCATTGTTATTTTTTCATTTAACGTAGTCTTGAAATTTTCTGGAATTTTTGGTAAATTATTTTCTTCCATATATTGAGTCATTTTCTCCCTCATGGAGTTTCTTCCTTAACATATAGTTTCTCATAGTATTCTTTAATTATATTTTTTATTGTTTCATGTTTAAATTGTAAACAGCCTTTTTCATCGACTAAATTGTTTATCAATTTTTTCTCCTTCAGTTTTTTAAGTTTATAAGCTAACCATCTTCCTGGTTTATTTGCATTTTCAAAAAGTTTTGCTTTGCCCTTTTAATTTGCTGTGCCAGTTTTTCTGATTCTGTTAAATTTAGTTTATGTTTTATTTGTAGTTCAAATTCTAATTTTGTAAATTCTTCTCTTAACACCTGACATTGTTGTTTCTTTTCTTTATTTTTTTTCCGCTATGTATGTTATCACTACGCCTCAAAAATATGATTTGGCTGTATCCCATACATTTTGTAATGTTGTATCTTCTTTTTTATTCTCCAGCATGGAAGGAATGTAGAATCCACGCATGGGTATTAGAAGTCCTCTAGCCCAATCAGACCAAAGAATCAAAGTTGCCACGCCCCTGCTGGGCTGGACCATGCCCCAGTTTCTTTTTGGTCTCAGCCCAGAAGAGACGTGTGTACTTTGTCTCCCGGTTTGAAAAAAAAGATTTAGAACACAGGTAGTATTTGCCTTTACTTATTGCGTGGATTCTTCGTTCCTTTGGCCAGATAGCCAGCGCTGGGCTCAGCGCTGAACTAGCTGGCAATTAGCTTGCTTTACTTGCCCTTGGCAAATTTGCCCGCTGATCGGCGCAATCGCCGCTTCCTACACAGCGCGGCAATCGGTTTTTCTTCTTGTAGCCTTTCCTGGTTCCCTTTGCCTTGGTTGATTCTGCCGGTCCCTCTTCTGCTGTTTTTCTCATAGATTCGTTTTCTTTCGCTTTCGCTTTTTCCTTTCCTCTGGACCGTCGTGGGTGCCATTTTGAGGCTCGCCGCGCGATCGTTCCCTTCCCAGCTGATTTCAATTATTTTCTGCTGTTTCACCTTCCTCTGTCAGCGGGGGGGGGGCAGTCAGGGCAGTTGGACCCTTTCCCTACGAATTTTGACCAGCGAGGGACAGTGTTTCCTCACTTTTACTGGGGGTATAGGGGCTCCTATATCTCTCATTGTGTCCCAGGCCCTGCACCTCCAGGATCGCAGACGCCATTTTCGTATGGACGTGGCTGATAGTGGAATTTCAGATTTCATTTTTTTCTCCTGTTTCATTTTCATCTGAATCCTAGAGGTTTCATTTGCCATTGATCAGTTGCTGTCTCTATTACACATACAGTGTTAAACACCTTCCAGATTCCTGCCTGCCAGATTGCTCTAACTGTTGAGCTACAATCAATTGGGCTGTTTCTTACCTTGCCTGTTTCCGCTGTCTGCATCTAGTGGACTGGCAATTGCTGTCCTAGCCTCCACTAAGTGAGACACGAGGGTCACCCATTGAAAATAATAATAATAATAATAATAATAATAATAATAATAATAATAATAATAATAATAATAATAATAATAATAATTGGCAGAACCTCCAATTTCAATCCAATCAGAAACGTTTCTACCAATTCATCAATGGAGAAACTGCAAGGAATCAGTCAGTACCTGACAAGGAAGAAACAGTGCAGTTCTGGAAGCAGATATGGGATAACCCAAAGAAATACAACAAGGATGCGGCTTGGTTAAAAGAGGTGGATGCAAATAAAACAGAGGTTGAAATGAAAGAACTAGTAATAACAACAAAAATGGTAGAAAAAAGAGCAAAGAAAATCAAAAATTGGTCAGCACCAGGTGAAGATGAACTGCATGGGTTTTGGTTGAAACATCTAACTGTTATACACCCACTCATTGCCAAGCAGTTCAACAATATACTACAAGGAGGAGAAATTGAAAAGTGGCTAACAACTGGGAAAACCTACCTAATAATGAAAAATCCAGCAAAAGGGGCAACACCAGGTAACTACAGGCCAATTACCTGCTTACCAACAACTTTCAAATTACTAACTGGTGTAGTAGCTGATGCAGTGCAACAGCATCTAGTTGAAAACAATCTCTTTCCACCTGAGCAGAAAGGAAACTGCCCCAATAGCAGAGGAACAAAAGATCAACTCCTAATAGACAAAATGATCTTGGAAAACTGCAAGAAAAGGAAGACCAATCTGAATGTGGCATGGATTGACTACAAAAAGGCATTTGACTCTCTGCCACATGACTGGATAATCAAGTGCCTAGAAATAACAGGAGTCAGTAGAAACATCAGAAAATTTGTGCAAAGATCGATGGCACAATGGAAGACACAGTTGCAGATCAATGGTGAGAGGCTGGGAGAGGTTAATATCAAGAGAGGAATATTTCAAGGAGATTCATTATCACCATTACTATTTGTTATTGCACTGTTTCCTCTGTCAACAATACTGAATAACTCAGGACATGGCTATCAAACATCAAAAACATCTGCCAGACTATCCCACCTCCTTTACATGGATGATCTGAAGCTGTATGGAAAAACATCATCTGAAATAGAATCGCTGCTCAACACTGTCCGTATATATAGCCAAGATATTGTAATGGAGTTTGGCTTGGACAAATGTGCCACACTTACTATCAAACAAGGAAAAATAATGAAAACTGAAGGAATCAAGATGCCCCACGAAAATAACATTAAGAGTCTGGATGAGGAAGAGTACTACAAATACTTGGGTATCCTTCAAGCTGACAACATCAAGCACACTGAAGTCAAGAAAAAGATTAGAGGTGAATACATCAAGAGAGTGAAGAAGATCTTAAAATCCAAACTCAATGGAGGAAATACCATAAAGGCAATCAACACCTGGGCAATCCCAGTCATTAGGTACACAGCTGGAATAGTGGACTGGACTCAAGCAGAACTAAAAGCAATGGATAGGCAGACCAGAAAAATAATGACAATGAATCATGCCCTTCATCCACGCAGTGACATTGATAGACTTTATCTACCAAGGCA